GACCACTGTTGATGGTTTGAATATGAATTCTTTTTTTTTTCCTTTAATATTTTATATTTATTTATGAGTTTTACTCTTTATTTATTATTGCAATTATTATGTTATTTGTTAGTTTATGTCAATATCATGATATTTATTCTATTTTTGCATGTTTTTTATTGTCATAATTATATTTATTTTATTTAACATATTAATCTTAATTTATTGAATATTATAATTATATTCTGTTTATCGTGCTTTTTTTATCATTTGATTGATATTTTTTACTTTATAATTATATAATTATATTTATCTTATTTGAAATGTTAATTTTAATCTATTAAAAACTTTAATTACATATTAATAAATGATATAATTATTTTACTTGTATTTTTAAAAAAAAATTATATTCAGACCACTGTTGGTCTGTTGTACCAACAGTGGTCTGAATATGGATTCCTTTTTCTTTTTTTTCCTTTTAATGTTTTATATTTATTTATAAGTTTTATTCTTTATTTGTTATTTTAATTATTATGTTATTTGTTAGTTTATGTCACTTTCGTGATATTTGTTCTATTTTGTATTTTTTTATTGTCAAAATTATATTTATTTTATTTAACATATTAATCTTAATTTATTAAATTCTATAAATATATTATGTGTATTACGCTTTTTATTTTATAATTTGGTTGATATTTTTTATTTTATAATTATATAATTATATTTATTTTATTTGAAATGTTAATTTTGATCTATTAAAAACTTTAATTAATACTAATTAAATGATATAATTATTTTACTTGTATTTTTTATTTTTAAATTATATTCGGACCACTATTAGTCTAAGAAACTTATTCGGACCAACAATGGTCCGAATATGAATTCTCTTTTTTTCTTTTTCCCAATAATGGTCCGATTATGAATTTAGCATGGTTTGGGGGAAAAAATAAAAATAAAAAATAATTTTCCTGCACATATTCAAACCACTGTTGATCTGAAAAACATATTCGAACCAATAGTAGTCCAAATATAATATTCATTTTTTTATTAAATATATTTTTCATGCTTCTTTTTTTTTTTTAGGTTTTATTATTCAAACCAACTTTGGTCTGAATAGTTTTGCCACCTTTTTTGCTAAAATTTTAAAGGTGAATTTTTTTTTTTTTTTGACATTTTCCAAACAAATAATGGTTTGAAATAATAAACAGCCAAAATTTTCCTCCCATTTGAAAATTTTATTCTGGGCGCCAAATGTCCATTTAATACATTACGGACCGATTACGGTTTGAAATAAATTTACCTATATATTTCCATGCCTGCTACCTCCTCCACTGATTTTTCTTATCTACCTCTTTTCTCTGCTATTCTTCTCCTCCTCTCTGTTTTCTATCTAGTTTCCCCATCTTCTTTTTCTCATGTTTCTAATATTTCTTCTTCTCCTGATCTTTGTGTTGCTCGTCTAATTTCTTATGCCTTGCTTCCCTACTTCTTTTCATTTTTCTCAAGTTCTCCTCTTTCTTCTTGTTTTATCTCTTTCCTTCCTTATTATTTCTTCCATTTTTGATTATATTTTCTGTTTTTATGTTTATGCTTTTACATTTTTGTTTTTGATTTGCTAATTTGTGATATTAGTTGTACTTAATTTTTTTTCTCTTGTTTTACTAATTTTTTTTTCTGGAGGTTATTATGAGAATTTTGGTAAATCTTAAACTTTGCTTCTATACATATATATATATATATATAT